CTTCAACTGTTTATTGCACAAGGGAGGGGGATCAAGGTCATCGTTCAAGAAAAGTTGCGCAAGTAATATCAACTCGAGTTCTCCGCTGTCTCCTGCGAAAAATCCATCCTTTTCACCTTCCATACGGTCTCTACCCCCACCCTTATTTAGAACCCACTCACCTCTTTCTCTGATCCTTTTCCCATTTCTCCCACTCACACACCAATTCGCCTACACCTGATACCTCAGTTTCCTCACAACCTGTCTCTGCATGGACACACTACAACCTTTTACCACGCACTCGCTGTAAAAAATGGAGTATATATATATATATATTTATATATATATATATATTATAATATATAATATATAATATATATATAGTTCAGTCAGATGCAGTAGAAAAACATCCATCCGTGTAGGTAATCTCAAAAGGTAAACATACTGCACCATTATGTTCAATACCATTGAAATAAAACTGGATTTATCGAAGCAGCTCTGCAGGGCGATTTAAATCAGATGGATGTTCTTTGCTTTACAGAACATTGGTTATTTGATAATGAACTTAGAATCTTCCAATTTCCAAATTTTTACCTCGCAGGCAATTATTGTAGAGAAAAGGAACACATAAAGGTCCTGCATATTGGAGTTCTTGCATTTACGTTCGAAATAATATCGATTATATTTCCTTTAATTAAATGTGTATTCCGTAGAAAAAGTGTTTGAAATATTTGTAGTACGCTAAAAATTATATTATTCTGCATCAACAGGCCTCCAACAAACAGAGCATTAGATTATATTATGTTCTTAAAGAAACTGGAGTTAACACTAAACAAATTCACCATTCGCTCTTTTGAATTCCTTTTTGTATGTGGAGATTTTAACATTGATTTTCTGGTCGAATCTCGTGAGAAAGCAGTTTCTAAATTTAATTCATTCCTTCAGTTTAGATATTGCAATACATGTACCTACTCTAAATTCAAAAAAGGCAATCGATCAAATAATAATTAACGAAACCACTACTCGATATGAAATTGAAATAAAAGATTTAGGAGAGTGATCATGATGCACAAATTCTTACAATGATAAAATATGTTTACAACACTGTTGATACGAACGGTAAATACATTTTTTTCAACGCTTTCATTTCATTTTAAATCTTATTCAAAAGAGGAAATTAAATATTTCACGGAAAAGCAGTTCTTGCATAACACAAGTGATTAGGACATCATGTAAAAACAAATGAATTCTTTCTTTCATTTCTAAGCATCATAACGTATTTCAAGGTTTCCTCCTCTACTTTAAAAATACAAAACATTTTTGAAAAACGTCATACAGCAAGCTAAAATCATGAAACATGACTAGCATATTTTGAACTCAAATAATAAAACAAAAGCAATGTGGAATATGCTAAAACATTCGACCAAATCAACTAGAAACCTTGTAGAGAATGTTTTTTTTCAAAGATAACGATGGAAATGTGAACGATCCGGCAGCAGTTGTTCGTACTTTTTGAGAATTGCTGCCGATCTCAGTAAGGGTCTTCAGCCACAAATTTCAGCATCAGAAATTCCCCCAAAATTTTAGGCACGGTGTTTGTTTGCCAAACTTCTTTCTATGAAATTCTGGAAATAATCGGTAGACTAAAAATAAATATTCGGCCGGTTTAGATGAATTTCCAGACTGTTTTTTAAAGGTTTGCGCGCCCGCCATTATACACCCTTTAACTCACTTAGTTCATGTATACTTATGCACAGGAATTTTCCAGAAATTTTTAAAGCATTTAAGATTAAGCCGCTTTTCAAAGAAGGCAACAAAAATAAAATTCATAATTATTGACTAATTTCTCTATTTGTTGTTTTTTCAAAAATATTAAAGAGACTTTTTTACGTACGAATGGAAACATTTCTTAGTAAACACGACGCATTTACGAAACAGTTATATTTTCTTTTCTTAAAGATGTCGTCTCATCCATAGATCAAAACGAAGTACCTATGGGAATATTTTTAGATTTTTCAAAAGCTTTAGACGTCATTGATCATAACATTATACTCTCAACTTACCTTCGTATGGAATTCATGGTGTTGCTCTAGATTATGTTCGTACCTTAAACAACGATATCTGAGAGTAGAAATAACTTACTGGAATACTGGAACATTATGTACACACCTTTCTGAATCTTTGCCAATTGCATGTGGAGTCCCGCAGGGATCGATTTGAGGCCCTATTCTCTTCCTACTGTACGTAAACGATATGCCTTCGACGATTTGAAACGGAAAAACAGTTCTCTTGGTGAATGATACGAATATTTTTTGCAACAAAAAAACGTAAATAGTACATAGCAGATATTTAAAATGTATTCCCTAATAATAAATTAATAGTAAATCAAGAGAAAACTGTTTCAATGCAGTTTTCCCTTTCAAATAAACAGCTCTGCACTTCACTGAAAATGAACGGTGTGTCATTGACTGATGTTAAGGTAATAAATTTTTTAGGTCTTTCAATTCAGTCAAACCTTAAATGGAATGTTCATTTAAATTAATTGAACATTAAATTAAGTTATTTATGCTACGCTTTTAGAATTCTTTCAAATTCAGACAGCCTCCACCCTGCTCGTTGTGTATGTTTCGCGAATGTTCATTCCCACCTGCGATAATATTCTGGGGAAATACATCTTATAATTCCTAGACTTTTAGATTACAAAAACGAATTGTACGAATAATAAGCAAATCCCACCCACGTGATTCTCATAAGCCTCTCTTTATTCATCCATGTATTTTACCATTACCTTGTCTCTTCTTATACGAATCGGTGGTTTTTGTTAAAAATGACTTACTTAAGGGAGGGAATATATTTTCAACAAACGCCGTTGTCTATAACTACTACAGTCGACGTAGTAATCATATTCATCAGGTGACAGTATCAACAGCTCATTCCAAAAAATTCACATATAATACATGTTCATTATTGACAACACATTGCCAGATGACATTAAACGATTAAATTCGATACAAAAGATTAAGTCCCAAGTAAAATCTTTTCTGCTGCACAACTCTTTCTATACAATTAGAGACTACACCGAGCATCCAAAAGGAAAGTAATATTAATTTTAACAATGACATTTAAGGTATTATGTACTATTTGGATTGTATAATTCTAAAGAACCTGTAACAAGTATTGTTCTTCAGATTATGGGTCAATAACTGCCCTCTCGATCAGGTTTTTGTCCAGTTTCCCTGACCCTCGAGCAAATGCTGAGATGGCCCCTTGTTTTGCTTCTGGACATAAACGTAACTTCAAATTAACTTCTCCCCATAGCACGTCATACACAGTTTTTAACTGTTTTTGATGTAAGTACATAAAAACACGGGCGCGAGAAGGTTCCCGCACTCGTCTTTTTCAAACTCGACTCGTGCGTGAATCTCCCATTACGCGCCCTTCTTACGTAAACTACTATTTCATGTTTTCCTTTGTAACACACATTCCAACAGAAATATTTTTTTGACAAACTTCAGATTCGTAATCTGCACCCCAAGATTCGTAATCTGCACCCCAATCTGCATCACAATTTGTGAGTGATCTTTGCTGTCCGGGTGACGCCGCGTCGAAGGCTGTGTGGCCGTCGTTTCGACCATCTTGTCGTGGTCTTCCTCAGGGCTGGTATGCTTGGTATTGGCATACGAGCCCTGAGGAAGGCCACGACAAGATGGTCGAAACGTCGGCAACACAGCCTTCGATGCGGCGTTACCCGGACAGCCAAGATCACGCACATGACTGGTCGCGGAAGTCTACGACTTCATACATCACAATTTGTTGTAGAACAGCCTTATTGAGCAAGTGCTGGTTAGACTGCAATGGGCTTCCTTCAAAATATACTTAATATAAAAAAATATAATTGTATGTCTTTTCACTCTGGTACTTTATTTAAAACAGTGAAGCGTGTGAACAAAGTTTGTGTTGTATTAATTGCCTGAGTTATTAATTTAGAGTACCTGTTTCGTTTCAAATGAGTCCAAAACGTGATTAATTGAAGCATCTGTTTTCAATACAAAGAAGTACAAAATAAATAATCGATGTAAAGAACTGTAATATTGTTTTATTTTTGTTCAATCAATTTGGTCAATTTCGAAAGTCATTAAATTATCCATTTTACACCGAACACAATAAATTATTAATATATTATATTACTGAAGGTAATACATTTCTGAAGGTTATACCAGAGAACCTGAAGGTCTTTAACTGGAAGGATACTAAGTGTCTGTGAAGTATAAAAATATGTGAAAACTAGTATTTGAAGGAAATGATTTCTTGAACTTCGCGGTTTTCCATTGTACCACAGTAACTCCTTTGCAGAATTATTAATTCTAGGAATGAGTGGTTATTAAAAAGAAAATATTCAATTATTAGTCTACATCCAGAAATTCACAAGCCTTCAAACGGGCGTATATCACTGTTGTCCTTGACTTGACCGAGTCCCTTGCCGTGATGAAATTAATAGGATAAGTATCGTTGGATCTCAATGTTGGTGATGGTAGCTGGTAAATTCAGTTGGCAATTGTCTTTGATTGACGTCAATTACGTTATTGCCCGCGTGTGTGCCCATATGTTTGTTGTGTGGAGGTGCGGAAGGTGTTATGTTAGCAGTTGCGATGATAACGATTGTTTTGAAAGTTTGATGGTTACATCTTATGTGAAATGCAAGAATTGCTTCTTTTGGTCAAGATGTTTAACTCTACGGACTCTAAATTAATGTGACTGTCCGAATTGTGTGGCACTCGACTGAACATATCGAAAGACAATATTGAAATACATCCTTTTCTTGTCTGAATTTAATGAGTGTTAATCATTTATTGCCATGGTAAGGTGCCCATGTTTAAATGATACTTTGGGTACGACTTGTCATTTGAGTTTAATGTGATTTAATTGATAAAATAGATGTCTTAATTCTGAATTTTGCATAGGCTTCTTCCAGTCATCCTCCTGGCACAACTGTCCAAGAATTCTCCATCAGAGTCCCAAAGTAAGATTTTTAAAGGTAGAATTTGTGAGTTCTTTAACTACATATTCTATAATTCATGAACTTATTTTCCAGAAATGCAAAGAAGACGTATAAAGTCATGCGTTTTAATTCATCAGTCAATGTGGATTTCCAAAAATGGAGTCAAGTGAAAATGGAACGTGAAAACAACCTTAAAGAATTCAGAGGAAATGATGAAGATCAGCCTAGGTAAGTTGCTGTCATGACATCAATTGACCTAGAAGTAAGATGAATTTTTTAAATTTTGCTATGTCATTGATATGCTTTCTGCAAATTATTTGAAGAGAGAGACTTTTAAAATGATGTTTGTGCAAACATTTTTGGTTTAATTAAACTCAATAAACTCTAAGCCAACTGAGTCATTGAAAAAAATCATGGAAACAGTAGTGTATTAAATAATTAAATATGTAAGGGAAACAACCTCTAAATGGAACACCAGTCAGAATTTATAGAAAATCATAGCACAGAGAGGTAATTACAAATAGTAATTGATATGAAAGAAGAGCCATTGGTGAGGGATAATTTTGGTGGACTACTACTACTTACTTTAAACAAAAAGGATCTACCTGGGGTGGTAAAGCAATGTCAATTCCATATGTTTGCAGATTATACATTAATTTATGTGGTAATAATGTACGAGCTGTGATCAATAGAATATATTACATGTGTAGAACAACTCCAAATTTTTAATATTTGCAATTATTGCACTAGCAGTCATAAAAACATGTAAATTTTAAACAAAAATGTCGTAACAATGTTTCCAGTTCTTTTCGGTAGAGAGTGACATATTTCATAATGGCTTTAGTACTTGAGTTGGGCCTGTAAAACACAATTTTACTGTATCTAATGAATCCAATTATCTGGATAAACACACATGCCATTATCTGATTCTTTAATTTTGTCCAAAGATACCTGAAGCAGTAAATAAACCTTTTCATCTAAAGGTGAACCTATAGATATAAATCTCATTATGTTTTTATTCTTACCGACATCATGTAATCAAAAACCGAACCAAATTTTGGGGTTGCAAAACACCATCCCACTGATTCTACCAACATAAATAATTCAAGATGGTCATCTAGAAGTTCAGTTATTTCAAGGTAATCTATTTCATCTTAAAAATCATCTGCTTCATGTTCAAGTTCAAGATTGGCCATTTTCTTCGAAAGGTTTGACTTTTTCATTTTCAGATATTTATGATTCAGATGGTGACCCAGAGTTAAAAGCAAGTACTTCTTTACCAAGTAGTGAATCGGAAGCAAATAGTTAAAAAAAAAAACTCGGGGAATTACTAAGAGGCTCATTTACAATGTCCCTGAGAAGTTCAATAGAATTACTGTTAAAGAAAGAGAGGGAAGCGTGATCACCACAAAGAGATTGATGGAAAAGTTAAGAACTCATCACGAGTGTACAAACTAGCCTAGCTAGAGTGGAAAGTCACTACATGTGTGGCACATCTACTTGAAAGTATATTTCAGGAAAATTGGAATCAGGAAAGTATATTTCAGGAATCAATTGTCAATTCAGAAATGTGTAGGTTAATTTCCTGAAGTGAATTCAATATTCCTTTTTTTGTTTCAAGGTTTTGATACAAATAGAAAATTGAAAAAAATTATGTGAACAATTTAAATTTGTTCCTGAGGATGAATCAATTTAAAAAAAAGTGGCGGAACGTATTAAAGAAAACAAAATTACATTGAAAGCCAAAATGAAGATAATCAAATTTTAAAGAATTGTATAGTAGCCATGTTCTATTTGCAATTTGTTCTTCTGACCCCAATTGGAGATGTTTCTGTTCTTGTACAAATCCAAACTAAGTCATATAACTTTACAATTTCTCAGCTTGGAACGCACAATAGAATGACATATTTAACATAAAGGAGTGGGTCAACAACTTGCCGATGAAATTGTGCCTGATAATGTCTTTACCTGTATATAGAAAAAATGGCTGATTGTAGTGAGAATGTTAAAATTACTTATTATTTTGATAACTACTGTGCTCAAAATAAACGCCATGAAAAAACTCGAGAAAACTTGAAGGAGGTTGTTAGACAAAATTCAAGAAGACCAGCAAAGATCAATAATAACAATAACAATCTAGTTACAGCTTATAAAAAAGTTCATTGTTAATTAATCAAAAGATTGTTTGTCCTTCAAAAATTCAGTACTCATTTCCCATCATTACAGCTGTTTTGTAATTCATTGTAAATTTGCAGTTGGTAACAATAACATTTTGAGTGCCTTTAAAAGTTTTATATTTGTTTTGTTACCCTATTGTACTATGAATAAAGTCTTATAACTGCCACTTTAAAATAAAAACTAATAAAATTTCACAAACATCACAAGTGTCTTTTCACTTCCCAGAGAGGACAGAAAAAAGAGAGAGGGAATTTAAAGAATTTTGTGCTTTAAAAGTGAGATTTTGCAAATTTACCCCCCCCCCCCACACACACAGACACACTTTTTTTTTAATATGACGATGTAAATTTCATTTAGGTATCCTGTGAAATGAGTTGTTATTAGCCAATGGACAAAATATAGAATGAACTTTGATTAGAGGTCAGTGGAGCATGAATTGTTACTGCTGGGAGGAGTGAGTGGCTGGGATGGCCTGAGTGTTACTGCTGGGAAAACAAAATGAATGGTTATGAATAAGACACGTTAAGGGAAGAAGTAGAATCAAGACAGTCAATATGTACTTAGAGGTGCAAAAATTTATTTATTGTGCTAAACAAGATCTTCAGATTTAGAGAATATAAATTTTCATTTAATTTTTCATGCATATTAAAATTCTGTCTAAAAGTTATAGAGCTATGAAATATGAGGATTTCCATAAAAAGAAGAAAAAACACAAACAGCATTTTGATTGTCGCTATCAATAGTGTTTTGATTTCTTTACAGTGTTCCAGAATTAATGTTATGACTTCTAGAGCATGTAGAAGAGTTGAAAATGATCATTTTTTTGTCATATGCTAACATATGGGGAGAAATTTCATATAACAAAATTACACATGTGAGACCTGCCCCCAATTTGTAGGTATTGATGTTTGGCGGGGCCATTCTGATACAGTTGAAGGGATTTCATTTACATGCTGAAATTATTATATGTTTGATCGGTTGTCTAAATCAGCAAATGTCACATCTGTAATGTAGTTGTATGAAATTTCAGACTATACGCATTGGCAAAAAAGTGATTATTTCTGATGCCATAGAAGTTTGTAGCATTTTATCTGAGACATTCTGTATGTATCTGGTAGGATGTGTGATTTCTTGTTCATGATTACTAAGGTGTAGCAAGTGAGATTCACATTCCTGATGTCGAATGAAAGATAATTATCATTTTCCCATGGTTACACCATGAAAGGATATTGTTGGACCAATTAAATCATTTATGTGCATTACTAAGGTAACATTAATTATTCAAAAACTTTAAATTGAAATTTTAAAAAAAGTGTGATGGAATTAAAGGATACCTCAATGGAGGTGAAGACACAATAGAGACCTAATGGCATAATCAGAATTCAGAGATTCTTTTCAGACTAAGTCTGTAACGAGTGTTGTAAGTATAAATCTATCTGTCCCTTTGAAATCTTAAAGCAGTAAACTTCTGCATCTGAATTTTTTAATAGATATGGAGCAGGAAGTGAATTTGGACGAGAAGCCAGAGAGGAAGCTCGTCGGAAGAAGTACGGCATTGTTAGTAAAAAATATCGTGCCGAGGACCAGCCGTGGATTTTGAAAGTTGGAGGGAAAACTGGAAAGAAGTGAGTTGTTTTACAATTTTCGAAGGCAGTAGGCAGGCTATTCTGGTAGATTGATGGCAGTGTGGTTCATAGAGTTGATGACACCAACACTAGCTGCAGTATTCAGGCAAGGCATTGCCTGCACCAACAAAGTAAATAATAAATCACAATAATAACTGACTTTACTTTGAATTAATGCATACTGTTATTACTTAATTTACATACTATTATTACATTTTTGAAATTTTCAACACTTAGAAGAAAGGCTTTAAAGACTGTCCCAGGTGATTTATTCCAGTCCTTTCCAGAGTTTATGGAGTCGTCAAGAGATGTCTTTCCATGCTTGATAACCGGCATGTGCTTTATAAGACATAGTCTTGCTTTAATCCTTTTGATTTCTTATGATTCCCATTCTACTTTCTTCCTGTTTCCCTGGAAAATAAGTTTACATCCTTGTCTCTGAATTGAATTCAGATTTTCCCATTGAAAATGTCTATAAGGGTCACAACAGACCATTCTGTATTCCATTAATGAATGAACAAGAGGTAAGTAGGCTAATTCTCTCTTTCACAGTGCTCATTTTGAGTATCCACGTAGTAAAGTACAAGGATCTCCAGGCTTCCCCTACGGCAAAATTTACGTGAGTTTTCCAGCCCAATTTGCTGTCAAAAATGATTCCCAGATACTTACAAGATATGACGTGGAATATTTTCATTCCTTAAATGGTAATGTGTTTCACTGTAATTAAATTAATATGATGGTTTGGCTTTTTTTAACTATTTATTGCATATTATTTGTTTTCCACCCAGCAATGCAGGCTATCTTGATCACCTTGCAACATATCTTCATTTACTTTTTAAATAATGACTATATATTGTGCAGTAATCTTCAAAAACACATACTTTTGAAAGTAAGTTATTTGACATGTCATTCACGATTGCAAGGATCAGAAGTCCAGTGACACGTGCTAATGATGAAAACTGTTCTCCCACTCGGACTGTGTGTTTTGTATGTCAAAGTTCATCAATGCATGCGACAACTCTGGTGTCAATACCCAAATGTAATAATTTCTGAACCAGTTTATCATGTGAAACAGCAGAAAAAGCCTTGGCAAAGTCTGTTAATAGGGCACCCCCACTGTCATCAACTTCATCTGCTGTGTCCTGAAACAGATACTATCCGACTCTCCTGAGAAAAAACATTCCTGAAACCATGCTGTCTTTGAAATAGTCAATCTTATCTAAAGTAACTAGTAATGGCATGTCATACCAGTCTAGAATTTGATAAAATAGTTCTGTCAACACTTTTATAAATTGTACAATGGTAGCTAGCTTCCAATCTTTGTGGATGCTTGAATTGTTGATAGAAATTTGAAATAATCTTATCAGATGTGGTAAAATTTCCTCCCCTCTAAATTTAATTATATCAGTGGAAATGGTATCCGCTTCTCGGGATTTTCAATTCTTCATTGATTTTATTTGTTTCTGCAATGATTCTGTCTATGTGAATGTTTCAATATTCCAATATGGATTTTAGGTAAATGCCTTTCTTACTCTTTTGATGTAAACAATTAAAATTCATTATGAATGCATATCATGACTACAATGTCAAGGATTAACAATTTTAAAGCACATTGCATCATTAGGGCCAAAAAATAATCTGTAGAAATACAGATTATTTAATAAATCAGTAGTAAAATAGAAAATAATCAGTAATCTGTAGAAATACAATACTTTATCTATCAAATTTAATGTTTTTCATCTTTGATAAAAATGTAGATGTAGAACCTCCAAAAAAATTGATTTCTGAAGAGTACTTATTTACCAGGCTACCTATCCTGTTTTTAGGTCCTCGACATACGTAGTTTTTCGACGATTTCACTGCATTCAATAACCTATACGATCTCAAACCTGGTTTTGAGTATGTGAATTGGAATTGTTCCAATATCTCTGGGCAATCAATTTGTCCATTGATAGTCTTATAAAAAAACATAAGATCCGAAATTTCTCTCTGGTTTATCAGACTGTCGATGTTGAAATCATCGAAGACGTTCTCGATGCTTATATTATATCCTCTGTTCTGCATGTAATATGTGATGTATTTGTAGAATTTCTTCTGTATTTTTTCCACTTTATCAATAAGGAGATTTGTATATGGTGACCGAACAACTGTGCAGTATTGAAGTCTTGACCGGACCAATGTTGAATATAATTGAATAAGTGCGCACATCGTTAAATTCTCTACCCGACCTAAGTATAAATCCGAGTATTCTATAGGCTTCTGATGTGATCTTGTCTATGTGTCTCGAGAAAGTCAACTTATTATCGATTATGACACCCAAATGTTTCAAAGATGCGACTTCCTGAAATTGATGTTCAAGTTGGTATGCCATAGGTCTTCGATGGAATGAACGAGTGAAGGACATCATCACACACTTATCAATATTCAACTTTAGCTTGTTTACCCTACACCATTGGCTTAGTTCGTTAATGTCTTGTTGAAGAATGTTGACATCCTCATCATCAGTTATTTTTCTAAAAATTTTCAGATCATCAGCGTATAACAAATAGTCTGATTTTTGTGTATTACTGATGTCATTAATAAACATAATGAAAAGGATTGGCCCTAGGTGCGAACCTTGTGGAACACCAGAGGTTACTCGAAGCTGCAGATATCTTTCTGTCAAATAAGAACGAAACCAGTTCAGAGGTTTACCTTTTATACCGTATCGACTTAGTTTATTGCATAGCATGTTATGATCTACCATATCGAACGCTTTACTGAAGTCTGTGTAAACTGCATGTACATCTTTACCTTCATTCATCCCATCAAGTATTTGATTAACATGTACATAAAGGTTGGTAGCTGTGGATCTCCCCTTGATGAAACCATGCTGCTTTGTCGATATGATGTTTTTAAAAGGAAAGCTCACTTGTGGTAAAAGAATCTTTTCAAAAAAATTAGATATGGACGATTGGATGCAAACCGGTCTATAGTTAGTCACAGTAGAGCTGGATCCTGATTTATGTATTGGGCTAATGTAAGTTTTCCATGCTGTTGGAAAGATGCCCAATTCCAATGATCTGCCAAAAATGTGGGTTATTGGCTCAGCCAGTCCAACAGCACAGTTTCTGAGGAACAGATTTGGTATCCCATCGGGTCCAGCACCTTTTTTCAAATCTAGCTTACAAAGTTGATCATAAACATTATCAAAACGAACGTTAAATTCTGATAGATCAGCATCCTGGTTAGTTTGTTGTTCTTCTGTCGGAGTCATAGTTTCAGAGGTTTTATCGTTAAGACTATTTTCGTAGATGCTTTCAAAAAATGATGTGAATAGGTTACTCACTTCACCTCCGTTTTTTGCCTTTTTTTCGTTCCAGGACATTGATGATGGAATATTCAGATTGCTTTGTCTCTTGTTTCTAATGTAATTCCAGAACTGATTAGTGTCCAGCTTTATCTTAGCTTCGATATTCGATTTGTATAGGTCGTAACATTTCTTATGGATTTTTTTGCATTCTAATCTCAATTTTTGGAAACATTTGTAAGCAACCCTCGTTCTTGTATCTTTATATTTCGCATGTGCCTTCTTTTTGAGCTTAATTTTATTTATCAATTCTCTGGAGAACCAACAGGGATAACTTTTTATATTGCCGAGGTATATCGGAACAAATTGTACAATTCCTTCATGAATTTTCTCGTAGAATCAGTTAACCTTCTCGGCCAGAGATTGAAGTTTATAGAGTTCTATCCAGTTACATCTCAAAAAGAAGCTATTAAGCCCAATATAGTCTGCTTTCTTGAAGTTATAAGTTGGTTTATTATTTGTTTTAAGACTAGTTTTGATGTCAACATATATACTGAACGCTGGATGGTATTTATCTTCCTTGATGATAGCTTCTGTTTCGATTACTTTCACTTCTGTGCTGCCAAAACACAAATCGAGGGTATAATCGTTCGTGTTTCGAATTTCATTGTACTGTTGACAGTTATTCAATAGCATCTTGCTGTATAAAATGTTCTCACAGTCACTTCGAGGGTAGCTGCTGGAGAGGTTGTAATCTCCTGTAACCAATAATTCACAGCTGGGAATTTAAAGCTGAAATCTTTATTAAATGCTTTAATCTTTATTCATGCAGAAGTTTATTTATAATGGGAGTATGAAATATTAAAAGACACAGGAGTTTGTGTTTAAACAGTTAAGACTTTTTCATTGATAATGTATGTGTAAAATGGTTCTCATTATTGATAGTGTGAATGTGACTTTAATTGTCCTATCTCTTTTGTTGCATTGTGCAACCAAGGTAAAGCAGGATTTTTACCAAATGCAAATTTTAGCTTCTATCTCATTTTGTGCTTAGAAATGCTTCGAAGTTCACTCTTCATGGGTGAATTATGTCAAAAATACCTTCTGGGTCTCTAATAGTGAAAGCGGCCTTTGAAGCTAAATATGGATCCATTCTATTACTAAGTCCTGTGTTACCTATGTTCCTAATTAATTTTGATTGTCTATGTCAAGAGAATAAAGTAGGCATTTGCCTAAAAATCCAAGGCCAAAATATTGTAGAAGTTCTCTTGTAATGAAAAATAAGCATGCAAGTCTAATTTCTCAGTTTTTGATGCTCACTTTGCCGTTATTATAGTCACTTTTAATTTTTCAAAATCATTTTAAAATTTCATATAGTTGCTGACAGGGTTGCCAGATACTTTAATCTGAAAAAATAAAATGATTACAGTAAATCTCCTAGTTGTATCATGTCATGCTAAAAATAGTATTTAATAATATTCTCCTTTTTCGTAAAAATTCTAGGTTTAAAGGCACACGTGAGGGTGGTGTAGCTGAAAACGCTGCCTATTATGTTTTCACACATGCCCCAGATGGTGCTATTGAGGCATATCCTCTTCAAGAATGGTATAATTTCCAACCTACTCAGCGTTACAAAGCTCTTTCTGCAGAGGAAGCGGAACAAGAATTTGGGAGGTACAAATCCTTTTCAACACCATACAATACAGAAAGAATAAAGTGTACTATTCAAATTACTAATTAGCATTAAGGGAAACAGTATTTAGCATAATCAAAAGTATTAGTTAAGCATAAAACTATGGTTTACAAATAAACGCATTCAACAGTATTAATTTCTCTACATTCAATTAAAGCCTTATTTTTTGTGGAGTGTAAATCCATTCTAATAATATGTAAAAAAATGAAATATTGCAAGACTTCTCTTATGTATCAGTATTGTGATGACTGGGGGAAAAAACAAAACAAAAAAAAAACCAAACAACTTTTCAAGAAAAATAGTAAGTGTAATGTGCCTGTGTTAGGAAGATACTATTTACAAACCATCCGAAATTCAGTAGATTAATTGCGTAGGCTCTCGTGGCTAGAGTTTAAATTGTCTAGGCTATCCGGGATGAGCCACATCTCTGTTGTAGTGGCTGACATTTCAGCCAACATGTTGTGGCCTTCTGAGTATACTGCGGATAATCCTCGATTTTTTAAGCCATGATGATGTTGAATAAAATAAATGTGTGTAAATAATTTAATCATATTTGTGTATTTCTGTTATTTTGATTCTGGACAGTTAGTTTTGAGATGGTTTGTTACAGAAAAGTTTATTGGAAATGTGTTAGCATTTGTTTTTTCCCTAGGTAAAGTTATCATGAATACTCTTATATCTTCAGTGCTATTATTTTAAATTTAAAAACCCTCAGTACTGACCATGAAACTATTTTAGTTTATCTAGTCCTTAGTCTCGGTCCTGTATATTACTTTGTACTAGTAATCATGTTGAAAAGTAGGCATTCAAGGGAAAAGGTGACTGGTGGGGTCAACACACTTCAAATTTTTATAAGAAAAATGTTTGAATTTAGCTTTTAACTAGTATGTATAAATGAGAGTATACATATGAATGCTAAAAAATTATAAATATATTCAAATAAAACCATGACCTTACAAACTATTTAGAATGTCAGAAAAATTGTTTTATGACCTACTTTTTTCATACACAGTAGGAAGATTGTGAATTCTTCCAAATTGAATTTTTCCTACATTATTTAAAAAAAAAAATATTTTACACACTTATTACTGCATTTACCTGAATATAAGTCGACTCTGAATATAAAATGACCCCCTAATTTTGAAGAGGCCTCCTAAGAATTTTTAAACTTCTATCTAATTCTTACTATTTAGTTAAAATGAAATTGCAAATTGTCTAATTGACTGGAAAATTATTGTGGATGAGAATGATAGAAGCTATACGAGCTATTTTTTTGTTCCATAAAATCATCACAATCATGATTTTTCTCATGAACCTCTTAATGTTCACATGAATTAATTGTTTCTTTTTGGTTGTCCCCCCCATACTGCAACGTCCTTTAACCCCCTGTGAAAGTTTTTGTGCGTTGAATTTGCATTCTTAGTCCGTCAAATAATGCCCAATGAATATTCTCTTGAGTAACACCAGATTTTATTCCAGTTCCTACCTTATGTGTTGCCTTGGATTCTTTAATGTTTTTTTTCACATTCTTCAATAGATTGTACACAAAATTAGCTTCATTTAATGTTTGTGTGATTGAGTTGTGAACTGCGAACTCTAACATCTTTGCTCCTCCGTTTCGTGGGTAACTTGGAGATAGCAGCAAGTTTCCAACTTAGGGAGGTTTTTGCTTAGAAAATGTTTCTTTATATTCTGTGATTGTATATAGAATGTGTACGTAGGTAACAATATGAATTTTTCTTTTCTGTCTATTGCAAAATTCAATTCACTGAACTGAAGGGCACTGAAGGCCTCGCCAGGCACTGAAGCGAGGGTCCGGGCGTCTTCATCGATCCCATAGCGTGTATCGGGAACTGAATCTCGTCAACATTTTTTGTTAATTTTCTCATTGTCTTTCACTTGATACAGTGCCATTCATCTTAAATTCTCTCCCTATGGGCCTATTCAAAAATATCAGTCTAAATTGCCTGGCAAATTTGCGGTTGATGTTGATAATATGACTGCGCATATTAATTATGTGTTATAGATAGGCATGATATTTTTCTGCTCGCATATTATTGTTACGTCAACATATATGAGTTTCTTGTCATGAAAAGGCAGCTTAAAACCTAAATCCTAACTGACTAGGTGTAATTCATCAATATAAGACAACTCCGAATTTTTCGAATGAGTTGTTTATTAAAAAATTCTTGTATTGGGGTAAATATGGCAAGTATTTGAAACACAAAGGTTTATAATTGTCACCACACTGTCAGCTTTGTTGGCTGCAATTACTCTCAGAAATATGTTCTGTAATTGTAAAGTAATCTAAGTTGTGACCTTGTTACTGAGTTTGCATTTTAATTATTTCGTTATTTCAGAGAGTTGGTCATCTCGATAGCTTTGTGGTTAGAGGAACTGGGTGTAAACAGGGAGACCTGGTTTTGAATCCCGGTCAGGGTGACCAATTCTTTGAAGAGATTTAATTATAGTGGTAAAATTTCAAAAACCAGCGAGGTATACATATGTATTCAAAACAAGCAATTTTTTGTAGGAGGAACAAGCAAGTGAACTACTTTTCACTTATGATGAGGAAAAGGTTGCGTGGTGAAAATGAAGAAGAAACTGAAGAAGGAGAGGAAACAAAAGTGAAAGGGAAATCAAAAGGAAAGAAGGGAGGTAAAGTGCATGTTCTGTTTCATTCTCTTAATTTCAATCCAACAATTTAAAACTTACGGGATCTGTCGATGTTTAAATTGCACCTTGTCTTGGTAAACACTTGAATTAAGTTCTGTTTTATTTCAGATCTGAAGATATCCGAGATGGATGATTGGGATGATTCATCTGAAAGTACAGAGTCTGAGGAAGAAAACAAAGAACAAGACCAAGAGAAGAAAGAAAAAGACAAAAAGAAAAACAGTAAGTTTAATCATCTATTTGCATTAAGATATTTTTGATTCATCACAATGATTTGTGAACGAATTGTGTCGAAAATGTTTATTAGACACAAGTGGTTCCTCTAAAGTTCAAATAGCTTAGAAAACATAATGACCCTTATGTGAAATATCTCTTGGAAGTTTCATTTCTTTAACCCTTGCTCCAAATACTTTTTCTCCTTCGCACTGTTCACTATTTGTTAAGTCTATTTTTAACCATATTATACAAATTTATTTTATGCGCAACCGCCCAATTTATGTAAAGTTTCATTCAATTATAAGAGACATTATGTATATAATTCATCACTTAACTTACTTACTACCATACATAATATACACATTTAATAATCTACAAGCATTTCTTCCACTATAATAGCTTACACTGGATGCCATTATTATGAGATATTCTTTTACATTCTATTGTTTTCATATTTTGCACACAGAATCCATTTAGTCAAAAATATCAAAGAAATGTTACTTACATATGAATACAGTTCTTGCAATTGTAGGCTTCCACAGCCAGTCATGTGAAGTATCGGAGTGATGCTGCATCAAGGGCAGTGATGCCTAGCATCACCTGTACAGCTGGGAGCATTTATGTATACAGTCTTGTAAATAATGAATTTAACTCTGAAAGATTTCATATTTGAAATTTTGTTAATATTCACTCCATCAATTTACTTAACATGGGTTGTCTTTTTCTCAAAAAACTGAAAAATTTTACATTTTGGTGGATTAAAACATATCATTCCTTAGACACCAACTCTGCAAATTAATAAGTGCTCACAGGATGTCCATACTATCAGAAATTGATAAAATTTTCTCAAACATTATTATTATTATTATTATTATTATTATTATTATTATTATTATTATTATTATTATTATTATAAGTTCATATTAAGAAGTGCCATTGCAATAACATTAATATAGATATTCAGTATCATTTAACCCAAATGAGAACCTTGAGGAATTCTAGTCAGGCAAGCAATAATCAAGTTCAATTAACAATGATGTAGGATTCACTGAATCAATGACTTTATTAAAATCAACAAAAAATCTACCCACCAGCTAGTTATCTTCAATCAAGTTTAGAATATGTTGTGTAAAGCTTGTCAAGTTTAATTTGATATTTCTCCTCTCTGTGAAATCATACTGATAATGACAAGAAATGGTATCATTTAGTTCCATTGCTTAAACAATTTTGGAATGCTATTAATTTTTGAAACATTATAAGGAGAAATTTTTCTTTTCTCTAGATTAAAAATGTTTGTGAACAATTTTTGTTATTTACTGATATCGGCAATTTTCGTGATATATGAATTATGACTCCCCTTATAAAAATTTGTTAAAATTTAATTTTAGATAATTTGAAAACAAAGGCACACTGACTTAAAATAGTTGGTGGAATATCAGATGGTTCTGGACTTTTATTTCTATCAAGTTGAAAATTACTTTCACTGAAATTTTGATCATATCAATGTTAAATTGCCCCTGATCTGGTGCCTGCAAATCTACATTCGTTTTGTTTATAAAATGTTTTAAAATATTGTGTTAGTTTTCTTGCTTTTTTGTTTGGTTCTTTTCTAGATGTATCTTATGTTTGTTTGCATTAATTTTACTTTCTCTTTTAATTTATGTTTACTAATAATGTAGAAGAGACTAATGCAAAAAAGAAGAAGAAACGGGATCCTGATGATGAAGCGTTTGAAGAAAGCGATGATGGTGATGAGGAAGGAAGAGAGGTAGATTACATATCTGATTCATCTGAAAGGTAAGTAAAATATCTAACATACTGTTAATGAATCAGTCGCTTGCCTTGATTTTAAGGTCATAAATGGTAGTGTTTTAAATAATGTTTCACAGAAAGGTCACATTGGGGTGCGTGTAACCTTTCTGTACTCGTGTTCCTCTCTGACGTAATTACTCACATAGTGCACTGAGTGAAGGAAATTGTTCAGTCAATAACAAAGCAACAATTGCCACAAATTAACTACTCACGGGACTATGTTATTAAATACAAAGATTAATGTAATAAATATAATATCTAACAATATTAAATTTGGTAATAGTACACCGCCTTTTTAATACCTTCCCCAAATTTGTAACCAAATTTGACCAAAGAACAATCACATATCACATAGTGCTAAAGAATGGGGGTCAAGGCAGTGTTATGCTGCGTTACATTGTGGTCGAGGAGGATCTTGGTTTAGTGTTATGAATTCCTGGTATTTATTTTTAAAACTTATCAAAATTTGCTGAAATAATTCCTTTTATTGAGTCTTGTACTAAAACGTTAAAATATTAACAATTAATATAAATTAAAAAATATAAAGTATACATTATTATAATAATTGGAAATGTTTTTCAATTCATTCATTGAATTTGTTAGATAACAAAGAAAATATTCTAAACCAATTTTTAGTATATTCGAGATTCCAATTAAATTGGCACAGTAGACTCGGTGCTCATGTATCATCCAAGGCAACTTGTGCATGGCATGTTGTTGGAAATTTTCTCGCCAAGTCGTAAATTCATTCAAAAATTGTCTACAGTCTTAGTGTTAGGTGCAGTCCTCATCGCCAAATAATTGTGTTGTTAATTGTCATAAATTTTAATATATAATACAAAATGAATGCAACTCATCAATACTTTATAATTTATTATTACTTATTGTAAATGTGGGGTCGTATTGCAAGTGTCACGTAATTATGAAAGTGGAGGGGGGTTTCAAACGCATGTTACGGAGGGGGGTATTTCTTGTGTTCTCATCTTATCTTCTCACCCTGCTTCCAGCTGTGTGAGGTTAGGGGTTGTGAAATACCTGAAGTAATGCTACTGAAGGGTGTGTGGATAATGAATACTGATAGCTTTTCTCTAGAGCATATTTATTGACTGAAGTGGGTCAAGTGAGTATTATAAAGGAAGAGAGAACTATTGGGGTAATGGGGGATGTTCCTTGTCATACATTAACTTACCATACCCGTTGCCTCAGCACCTGTCTCATCACCAACCACCTCATTCAACCTCTTTGGGTCAAGCCCCTTTTTCGTTCCAGCTTTGTTTCCTCTCTCCTGGTTGTCACAGGCTTTGCACGTGTAGGTTGCTGACATTTGCATCTCCTACCGCTCTTGGGCACAAAGGGTTCAGGCGGGTATGCGTTAAGGTATTTCTACACCAAGAAAATATATTTTATTCATTAAATTTGTTCAAAGAATTGGTCATCCTGATCGGGATTTGAACCCGGGTCTCCTGGTTTATGCCCAGTTGCTCTAACCACTTAGCTATCTTTGTGTGTTTAACATTACGATTCACCTATAAGGCGCAATAGTGCACAAAACATATTCCATGTTCCTGAAGTATTCAAATTAACTATAAATTTATATATCATGTTTTTATTTAAATGTTGTATTTAAATTGCATTGAGTGATTGAAATTTTAAAAAGTCTCACAAAATATGGGTTTTTGAGAAATTAAATGTATTGACAGTCTCCAGTTCCCTCTCCACAGCAACTGACATTTTTTGGAGTCCTGCTGTCGGAGGGGGCTCATGCAGTCTCGGCTCCTCAGCCAGGCTGAATGGAGCTTCTATATTACTAGTTTCATGAATGGGAAGTTGGCTCAAAGGAAGAGAAGTCGCTCCGTGGGTGCGCTCTTGAGTAAAATTCCTGGCACTCTGAGCAGGTCACCCGGTGCCTTATCTGTCTCCTCTGCAGGAATATTTGAACGTTATATGGTCTCAAAGGGACTCTTATGACAAACGTACAAGTGTGAAAAACATATAAATGTAAAACATTCATCTGAAATAATTTAGCATGAGAATTATAGGAATTTACCCAGGACTTGCCAAAAGAAACAATGTACAAACGTGAAAAAGTATAAGTGCGTAATTTAGAAACTGAATTTCGATGTACCTACAATTTTTTGAAAATTTAAATGTTGAAATGAGTTAAAAAAGTAACTAAGAGCAACATAGGTAAGTTGACTTAAAAATCCAAGTCAACTACAATCATTTAATGAAATAGTCAAGAGTATGTACAGAAAGTACTTAATGTATTTGTAAGCTTCCGCGGCTCAAATCCATAAATTCTCGGCTATCCAGGACGCGCCGCATTGTCGGCACCCCAGCCAACGACGCAAAGTCTCCCGGATAGCCGAGAATTTACTTAATGTCTTGTTAAAAAATAAGTTGTTTTTAATGGTGTCTGCTTTGACAAACATGGTTTGTCCCAGATATGCATAGTATTCTGAGTATTTTTAGAAGCATCTAATTATTTACATGTGATTTGTAGTGCATCAGATCATGAAACTAAAGCAACCAAGGAACTGAAAGGGGTGGAGGAAGAAGATGCTCTTCGGAAGTTACTCTCTTCAGGTGAAGAAGATGAGGAAGAGGAAGAGGTAGGAGAACATAGCATCATTAGTGAAGAATAAGCTAATTTTAAAGTGTTCTGTAACAAATCCCTAAGAATGCTGAAAAGTATTCTTTCTTAGCTTTATTGCTGAGAGTTTTATTGCAGTTGCAAATTTCTTCTGGTAAGTCAGACAAGGCTGGAGTTCTGTTTACTGTCTGAATTGGAAGTCCATGGATGCTTTTTTGAAAGTTTAATTCTGTGTATTGCAAGTACTATTATTCTTATTACTCTCTTATTATTCTTTTTTAACGCTTAGTGTCTAGAATTTGTGCATAACTGTATTCCAATGGGTACTTTTTCCTAGCATTTTTAAATAATGGGCAGTGAATTAAAACATGAGCATGTATTGGAACTTTACAGTGATCACATTTGGGAGGAAGTTTACCATCTATCAGGTGTACAGGAGACAGTTTGCAGTGTTCATTTCTTAATCTAATATGGACTACCTGTTCTTTACGAGCCTTAGAAAGTTATTATTGACCTAGTGTTTGCGACTTTTTTATGTAGCTCACTTGCCTTCATAAAATTTTATAGGTTGTACCGTATATTTTGCATATTGTTAGATACACGATTCTACCAGTCCTTATTGTATGTGTTTAATGTATGTATAAATGTATTTAAAATCACTACTGCATTTGTGGTGGTTACGGAAGTTGTCATTCTTCATCAGGAGTAATATATTTTGTTTGAGTTACTGAATCAAAAATAAAACTTTAAATATTACATTAAATCGTTCTCTTGCTATAACTACTTTAAACTTTTTGGGGTTATCTTATGTAAAATATTACATTGTTTACGAGGTTTACTAGTAAAAATAGTCTCCATGTAGAAAACACGTGTAGACATTAACTTTTATTCTATGGCACAACTTTGATAGAAGGTAATGCATAATGTAGTTTCATTAAAGAAAGAAAAAAGGTAAAAGAAATCTATTTCATTGGAATACCCATTACATGTACAAATTGATTTAGATGTAGTGAAGAGAGATTACATACCAAACATTTACATACCATTTGGGAATTTTAACATAATTTCATTTTTTAGCTGACTCAAGCTGACAGTTGTGAAATAATCTTTAAAACAATTATATTTCTAATTTGAATGTATTATCTTCAGTGTGTTGTTAATGTTGAACTTGTAGTGAGTTTTAATTTGTTTGTTTATTAGAAACCAAAGGAGGAGGAGAAGGATGAAGAGCCTGAAGAGAAAACAAAAGGTGATCTGCCAATTCTTATGAATGAGGAGAATGACAAGAAGAGCAAGAAGAAAACAAAGGATGCTAGTATCAACAGCCACAAAAAGAAGAAGACCGATAATAATGCTAGCAATAGTCAACCCCAGAATCCTGGTAAATATGCTTTAGGGTTTGTGGGGTCTTTGTGGGGTCTATTTTCTTTGTTTCATGCTATATCATTTCAAACAGTATGTTCTAAAATACCCTCTTTAGAAATAGTTGTTTAATTATTTTCAGACTCTTCTTCTGAGATGAGTTCAGATTCTACTGATAGTGACAATGAGCAAAAGAAGAAAAATGGAGGGAAAACAATCAAAGAAACAAGTAGGTATGTATTATCTTTAAACTTTTAACTTAACTCATTGAGTACAAAAAGCTATGCAATTATAATAATTCGGAAAAATATGTGTGAAAGTAATGGATGCCACAAGTAAGTTTGTTATTTACTTCTGGATGATACTGATTTTATGATAGTAATTTTTGTTGTTTTGTTGCATATTTTTATTAACAAACTAATGAAAAGTGAAGAGTAAAGTCGCTCCTTTTTATCCCTCTATTGTTGAACTGAGTTTGTGTTCAAGTGTTGACATTCAGGTCCCAAGATCTGCTCTTCTACTAATGACCTTGTAGGGTGCTGTATGCTGCAAATAAACAACATAAAGACTAGTATTTGATTTCCTCTTGAAAGAAAATCATACAAGATGTTTCATTGGGTGAATTTCATCAGATTGACCTTAAAATGTTAGGTCTGTAGTCTCCAACCAGAAGACCATTGATTAAGGCAGCTATTCTACTGAGGACAGTGTTGTGAAGAGATGCTGAAAATATTTTACGATTGATTTGTGCATAATTTCATTAATTATTCAGAATTGCATTCTACGAATACTATGTGCCGAATAAGTTCATTGGTTGCATTTACAATGTCAATTATAATATTTGAAAATGAGCTCTGACTGCATTACACTTTACTGAGATTGATGATTTTAGTATAATACATTACAAATTTCATAAAGAAAATGGTGAACTGAGTGTATTTTCAAAATAATATGAATATATCCTCGTAATGCTCTCAGTGAAAAAGCTTATAAATCTGCATAAATTCATAATTGACAAAACTAACTGAATTTGTATTTCGCAAGTGTATTGAAGTAACCATGAGGACTTTTTTTTGCGGGTGTGTATTTCAATATATACAATTTTAATTGTGTATTGTGTTGTCACTGATGTTGACCAAAGAAGCTTTTAAATTTTTTTTCTTGTGCAAATCCTTTAAATTTGTATTGGGTAAAGTTTAATGAACATTACCTGTGTGGAATGGAGGGACGAAAATAAAATAAAGAGAGGCCATTTCCTCACCTTCAGACTAAAGACAGTGTGACACCTGACATGACACCTTTGAATTAAAGATTGTGATATTTTTCATGCTCCAGATGAGTCACAATCTTGAAGTTATATTGTCAATAGTAACTAAACAATCAGCTGTTAAAATTAGTTTGCAGAGTGCTGACCATTGTTCACAATTGTATTTATTATGCCCTCTCCCTTTTTTTCCCCCATAAATATCTGTGTGAAAGGAGAATATGAAGTGTAAATTACCCTCTAAAAGTTAATGTTATGTTTAATTATTATACAACACAAATAATAAAATTAAAATATGTTATAACAAAAGAAAAAAATCTTTCAGAAGAACATTGGGGAAGGAAACAACTTGAAGGGTCATTTACTGAAGAGTAAAGTAGGAGAACCTTGTACCAATCTAGATTTAGAACAAAAACAATTGTTGGAAAAGAAACTAAAATGGAAGAAAAACTTGCAGACAGCAAGTGATGCAGAAAAGAGAGCCTAGGAATCACCCACCGAAAAACTTGGAAAAGGTAAAATCTCATTGAAAATATAAACAGGAACAGTGGGGAATCATATTTTAAAGAAACAAACCAGAGCAAAAGGGAGGAAGCTAACCCGAGAAAAAAGGAAGAATGATTGGAACAACTGGAGAATGTGAAACATGTGGAGAGAGGCTACATTGTGATTCAGCCAAAGAATACTCAAACAATTAAGTACAAGAAGTAACGAGAGGAAGCAGAGAATAGTTGTGGAAGAACTAGAAATTGTTACAGCCAATTTGAAGAACACAAAAGGAGTAGAAATATGAGAGATAAAACCAGAAAAGATAAAATATGGAGGAAAGAACTAAAAATCTTGCATATTGCATATTTGCATATATTGTATATTTGCAGAATTGCATATTTCAGTGATATGTTGAAATTTAATTTTTGTGTTAACATGTCATCAACTTCGCTTGTGAATTCCTAATCACACAAGAATGTTAGTTTGACCTAATCACACATTGAATGAACTTTTCAGAAGTGGTATTTGTTACCTTATGATAGTCCACTTCTCAGATACACTTGTATTCTTTCTCTGTTATTTACAAGTGTCATTGTCATTGTTGCTGGGCATGACACTTTGGGCTGTACATGTAGCTCTTTCCCAGTAGACCTGGTGGGCTATTAAGTTCTCCAAGTGATCCTGACCTAACCCTTTCTTTTGTGGTCTCCCCTCATCCCTTTTCCCTATAGATTTGTTTTGATTAAAGCTTTAATTTAATGTTTACAGGAGTGTATTATCAATTTAACATTAATAAGTAGACTCATGTATGCCTGCAAGTCTTAGCAGCCATTTGTGTATATCACAGATTTTGAAGCTAGTACTGCTTATCTGTGTAGAAAGTCATGACTAAAAACAGTTAAAATGTGTTTGACAAACCTCGTACAGTCATGCACTGTGGGAATAAATGGACATATTTAAGAAACATGTATATAAAAACCATATGTTACAAATGGCTGCAAAATTCCTCCAACTTACCCACACAATTGTGCTTATAGGTTCTGAGAGGTGTATGGTACTTCCCCTTTCCCTGTTTCAATGAGTCATTCTCATTTCCCCCTTTCAGCATTGAATGCTCTTACTCTTCACTATATTCAGATGTCAATAGTATGAACCAAACTGGTGTTATATCTGCCTTAGGAGCAAATCAAATAACAGAAGTTAAGTGTGAGTCATCTGTGGCATGAAAAGTTTTTCCAGATTTACCCGAATATAAGAGCTTTTTTCCTAAATATCTCATTGAAAAGATACTGAGTTGTCTTATATTCACAGATTAAGCCAAGTCCGTAGGATTTTTAATTTCATAGTGCCTTTCTATGTCATGAAACTCGCAAATGTTAACAGAACAATAAGCAGCAAAGACAATAAAAATATCACGCATCTCTGTACCAATTATATTCGTAGACGTATTTTTGATTTCCACCACGAATTTCCCAGACAATTCGCGCCGATATTTTTGAAAGGGCCAGTGCAGAGAGAATCTCAAATCAATGTTACTGTATCAAAGGAAACACAACATGAAAATAAATAAAAATCGTTGCCGATCCCGGTGGCTGAGATCGTTAAGGCAGTAGTGCCTTAGCAATCTCAAAGGAGAAGGGTCACGGATTCAAGTTCTGCCTTGAGCATGGTTGTATTTGTGTTTGTCCTTTCACCCCCTATTATCACCAGTTCATGTCATCTTGCTATACTGTTTAATTCAATAATGGTCGCTAATGAATAGAGAATAATTCTGGAGAATGTATAAAAATAACAAATGAAGAAAAAGAGAAATTATGAGAGAAAAACCCAATGAATCTTTAAAATGTTTAGATCAATATATTTGTACCTTACTGAAGAATAGTGTTTCTAGTTTTTTGTTTTTTCAAGTAATCACTATATACCTTTAATATTCATGAAAGGATTAAATATGGTTTGCCAGGCTTTATTGTCACGTATGCATGCCAGATGTAATTGATTGTAGGTATGTCACCCTCTAATTTTCCCTTGCTGTGCCTGTTGGGTTTTGTTTGTCTTTCCCGTGCCAAACATTTCCTTTGAATCATTTTTTGTATCATACAAGGGAAATAATCTTCTTTCAGTTGAAATATTGCTCCAAATATTGATTTCTTCTACCATGACATGGACCCCATAAGTGACTGTGATGTATATGAAAAGATCACGAATGAAGGATATTATGATTTTATTGTATAATATGAACCATTGTTTTACTATAATTCATAAGATTTGTTGATATATCTCATTTAATTAAGTCTTCCTTTGCGTGGTTTTGCCTAAATTGCTGTAAATACTTCGCCTGTCATTGTGCTTTTTACTTCTTCAATGTGTTCTAAATGATCTTGAAGAGAAATGCCATTGTATTGTTATAAATCTTCCGTGATGCAGTATTGTGTATATAGTGTGTGGCAAACCTGATTTGTTGATCTACTTGCCACATCAATTACAACACTTTTTTTACATTTGAGGTTTTGACCAGCAGTATTAATAAAAAGAAGTAACAGTTACATTATGTTGCAACTGAAATTAAAATAAAAGAAGAATGGCTTATGAACGAAGAGTAAGAATTAAAACATTAAAGCCTATGTTGTTATGGTTCTGGTAAGATTCTCACAAGGACATCTATTTAGGAATTTAGCAGGTGAGTCAAAAACTGGCTCTTCAGATGCTAATTGTAACTTGCATTAATGTGATGTTATGAAATGGAAATCACAGAAAAAAAGCTTTTGCAAAATAAGCTACTACGTAGCAAACTATAAAGTATTTCAAGTATTCTTATATTATTGACTTTTACACAACTAACGAGTTGCATGTAACATCAAAATTCAAAATGCAGAGACAGTTTAATTATTTCATTTTTTTTATCATTGCTCATTTCCTGCTAATCTGCAGTTTTTTAAACACTAAAGAAAGTAAAAGAAAAGAAAAAGAAATGTAGTTAGCACTAAGTGTTGTACATTGTGTTAAAAGGCATAAAAGGCATGAAAATATACAAGGAGCGTAGTGGATGCACAGTGTGGATGCAAATAGTGTTTTATTGTGATCACTTTAACTTTGAAGAAAGTTTCATTTACATTATGAAGAGAGATTTATTCGTGGGTTGTATTGCTGAAATTAGAACATATTTGTCATTCAAGCAATTTATTTAATAGTTTTATTTATCATAAAAATAAGTTAGCAGATTGTACAACTGCGAAAGATATTTTTAGGTTTAATATGAACATTTAAATAATTTATAAACCCAACATTATAACATTTCTATTTACCAAACAAATTAACTGATTAATTGCCTCTACCCAAAATTGATAATTTTACTTATTGTCTTTCATTAAATGCGTAATGTACCAAGGATTAATAACTGCTTTCACAACGGTATTACAAAATTGGTAATTTTAAAATGCCAATTTTATTTACTAAATTTATAGTATGAAAACAACATTCTTCCAAAAGTAATCCATGAAACTTTTCTTAGTGTAAGATTACCAAGATGTGCATTGCAATCCCTTGCATATTTTTAAGAAGCCTTCTGCGTAGTTTGTAGAAATCTCTTGTAAATATTTCCAAGTCAAGTTTGCTATGTGCATGCATACCCCTCCCCTTTCACCTTCTGTGAATTTCTTTTGATTTTGAAACTGTTTATGGAAACAATTCTTTAATTCAGCAGTTCCATATACACAAGCTGATCTTACTTTGTAAGTATTTTAGGAATCCATTAAAATGAGTGAAATTGCACAAATAAATGTTCTGTATTCAAGATGGTTTTCTGGTATGGAGGGGGACAGTACATTACATTATCATTTAAAATGCTACCTAGGTAATGGACATGGCAACTATGTAGATTTCCATGGGTGGAGAATTTCTTTTCTCCCAGCTGTTGTTAATAAAATAGGAAGATCACAAATGCATGTGCTTCTAAGGTTCCCTTCCATGTAGATGCAATATTTTTTGTGATGCTTTTTGTGTTGTTTGATATTTGTTCAATGCATTGCTTCTGTGCCCCATTGCTCTGGCGAATTAGCATGAAATTAATGAAATATTATTGTAAATTAATATTATTTGAGTTATAAATGAAGTGTTAAAGGCATAGGCACCTTGTAACATGTCATTGAACATTTTTGTGAGCTGAGAAAGCTTTATTCACAGTTGATAAGTATCACTGTTCTTTGCTAGAGAAATATTCCCTTGTTTTTCTCTTCCCTAAGAAATTGTTATAAAAACAAACAAATATTTAAAATTAGATCAGAGTGCACTATAAAGAATTTTAAAAAATGTTAATTTGAACTTTTGGAGACTCTGTTCATTCAAAATGATGAGTAAAATTTATCTTAGCATATGACATTCACATTTAACCCAGATGTAAGAAATTTTTAATAGAGCACTCAAATTTATGCTTTTAAAACAACCTAGATATTACTATTTTAGTTTATTTGAAACTTTATTGTATCATTTTACTTCTTTCTTTTGAGATATTCAATAAAAATAACCCATTCACCACCCAGTTATTTATTCCACTAAAATTTTTTTGATTTTTACATTGCCCCAAGTCATGAAACCCGTAAATGTTGATGAAACAATATGCTGCATCATATATAATATATAATTATATTTGTGGACATATTCCACAAATTTGCTGAGCAATTCAGACAGATACTTTTAATGTGCTGATTAAGAGAGAATCTCAAAGAATGGCATTGTGTCAGGTGAAACGCAACGTGAAAATGAATATAAATTGTTGCTGATATATTATGATACACTGACAAAGATCGCCCAGCAAGTACGAATCTGTATTTTGCAAGAGATGGAAATGAAAAGTGCACATTGGTTAAAGGCATATGCAATCTACAACCATAAGATAAAATGTATTTTCTAAATGAAAACTTCCTAAACTTGGAAAGTTGTTGTCATTTCCCTCATTACCTGTGAAACTGAGATGCACAAGTTCACAGTTCACAATCACCTAAATTATGAATTAATCAGGCATCTTCTATTAAAAAATGTGGAAGAAAAGTTTAAGGAACAAAAGCGGGAGTGAGATAGGGAGAAAATCTGGTGACTTAGGAGGTTCTTAGGGGCTGTCAGTTGAAAGACTAACAATGCACATTCAATGTGCAAAACTTTCCAAGGAGCCCGGGATATCGCAGTATGGGACAAGGACCAAAAAGAAGGAAACAATTATACATGTGGAAATGAAGAGGGTAGGGACAAAACCCATGATTATGATGATTCTAAAAAACAAGAAAATAGTTGTAGCTGAGGCAATTCGTTTCAACATCTTGTCAACAAGACAATTTTCTAGTCAATTTGAAATTTTATTGTGACTAAATAATAGAATTTGTTAAAAATTTTAAAATATTCTCAAAAGGATACTTTGAAATTGGAGGGTTGTCATTCGACTTATATTGCAGTAAATAGAGTGAAATCATTTGTAGTTTCCATATTTTGGTACATTTATGTACTTTTACATATTTATCCTCTTACTACATATTTCCTACAGATTTGATTGCATTTCAATATTTTTGTATTTCGACACGAAGCATCATGGTGCTTCTGTAGATACGAGTTTCACAATTATGTTTCCAGAATCATCTTTCTATTCAACAGATATGAAACTGCTTCTCTATCTATCTATCATCTAGAGTGTTGCCTGTGAATTTTCACCCTCTTCATGGAATCAAGAATGAAAGGTTGTTAGTAAAGCAGAAGTAATTGTAACATTTCTTTAAGACAATTTTTCTTGCTTCATGCACTCCTTGGAGAAGCATACCCTCTGTAAGGGATGCTAAATTTGTAATTATTCTAGAAATATTGTCTACTTGGACTCAATGTGAACACTCCTCTGGAATGTACATTATCAATTTGTGGTAATATTGGTTTTGATAAATTTAGTTCAGTTACAAAAAATTATGGACTTTGCTAAGGAACGTGAGTCCTGTACCCCCACTCTCATCCTGTCACTTACAGTAGATGTGTACACCAGCTTCTTGTAAGCAAGAATGAATGTACTTCATACGTATTTTAGTATATTTCAAGTAAAACTCGTTTTGTATGGTGCAGAGCAATGTACAATTACTTCTGTAGATGTAGAACATATGTTCAGCTACTACAAATGTTTTGTGTTTGAAATTCTAACAGTGGAACAATTTTAAAGACTGGCATGAATTTGAATATTTTACATTTTGTTTTTATATTACGATAAAGTCTGATTTCGACTAATTATTTTATCACTGTTTAAGAAATACAAATTTTCAGTGTTTTTTTACATTTTTCTGTGCACGACCTTTATATTTTCTTAAAATTATTTATAAATATGAATGCTAATCACAACACACACATTAATTTAATTTTTTATTTATTATAGTCATTTCGAAACTTAAAACCGTTAAACAAATACTTTCTCTCTCAATCTCCAAATTCATATGTATAATTTGAGGCAGAACAAATGCGGGTTAAATATGATTGTCATATGCTAATATTGATAAAGTTGGATGTACTTCTAGTCCTTAAAGTTTTGTGGAAGCATACTCTTTTTTCCATTACTGAAGGGAAAGACATTAGAGGCATGTGAAGAATTGTAGTAAATACCAAAAGAAAATAAAAAAACAAAATAACTAACAATAATTAAGGGTGTGCATGGGGACCAGATATCAATTCAGCATCATTAGAATATTTTATAAAATAATTAAATTGGTTGAATATTTAGTATCTACTTTCTTCATTCTAATATTCTTGTAGGCCCAAACATTACAAATTCAGTGAATGTTTTTAATATCCTGTTACTGTTTCATTGTTGTTGAAGAATAGTAAAAACTGTATGCAATATATAGGGCAGTACAATCTGTGCATGTTTCTTTGAGTTCCAGAATCTCTTCCCCACCCTGTAATCATAAATAGTTAAGAATGAATAAAAGTACCAACAAAGCAAGGTTAGCAACATTTGAAAACAATAGGTTCGTAGGCTTCCGCGGCCGGAGTCAATGTATTCTTGGCTATCCGGGATGAGCCACGTCTCAGTTAATTTTACTGACGTTTCGGCCATCTTGCTGTAGCCTTCTTCAGTTCTTAGGCATTTTGGCTCTTGACTTATAGAAAACTTATTTGCATCAGTAAGGGAACTACAGATTTGATTTTATAGTATTGCTAACAACTTTTAACAACCCATACCCCAGCTCTACTCCTACCACAATTAGTAAAGAGAGAGCTCAATAGTATGTGTGCAAAGTGAAGCTACATTTATGACCAGAAGCAAAATAGGGTCATCTAAACATTTCCCAATGAATCAAGGAAACTGGATGAAAAACTGATCAAGATGGGAAATGAATATATTTGTCAGAACTTACAGATAAATAAGGAGTACTTTAAAATAAGGTCAAAAGACATGGAAAAAAATGTTGTTTTAACATAGATTGTCATGAAACATGTAGAAATTATGTAACTAGAAAAACACCAGTGAGTAGATTAATTTTGTCTGTTGGGGATCTCTGTTGCCGAGTTGTCCAAATTCATTAAAAAGAAGCATTGCACTGTAGGGCCTGTTAAAAACATGCTGTAGTCCAAAACCAGATTATTTGCAACTTTAGTTTAATTGGAGTCCTCTCTTAATCATGAATTAATCACATGTATCTTTTCAGTGCTGCAAGCTCACGCTCTGCAACTCCCACCAAAGACAAGGACCTTTTGCCTGGTGCATCTGGTGAAAGTCGCAAAAGGAAGGTAGCCCCAATCCTTGATTTTAGTGCCAACAAAAAGAATCCTTTGGATAATTTTGCGACAGCTGTTGTTCCTCCTCTGATTGGAACTGGGTAAGACTCTGCATCCTTGCAACCTTACAATTCTATTCTGCAAAAGTCACTTGGGGTGTATTGTTCCCTAAAATTGACTTAACTACCCACTCTCGTTTAACATGGTATTGATGTCGTAAGATGGAAATAAATTTAAAAAAGTATGTATCCTATTAACCATCTGCCTAAGAGAGAGCAAAAATGCTTAGCACATCTCAAACATTGTCCACATGATAGTGTAGAACCCAGTGCACACACTTCAGACAGGCAAAGTGATTGTAAACATGATTCCATGAGAACTTTGTAGACAATGTTTGGGAAGCACTGAGCCTTTTTTGCTTTCTCTTGGTGGACTGTTAATAATGTTATACACTATTCCTTCTTTTAAATTTCCATCTTAAGACATTCCAATTTGTAATAATATTAACCCTTCTAACATATACCCTAAATTCATGATTTTGCCGATTCAAATGTTATTTAAATAAAGAACTGCACAGGAAAATCTGGAACAAACTCAAAAATTCTAAAATTATAGAACATAAATTGTCTTTAAAAGTTGAGACATTGCATTTTGTTTTTATTTTGACTTATTATTTTGAAAAAATGATGATTGCCATTTATATGAAGAAATTCATATAGCATACATTGTTTCATATACTTATTTTCTATTTATTATCTTCTTTCTTTGTAACATATTTTACTTTTCAATGAATAATTTTTTTTCAAATTGCAATATTTCCTGAACATTTATACATCTCCCGTCTTTAGATGCTGGATATTGCACCAAATTTTGTAACTCTGTCCATTTTGAGCCATTGTCAAGTTAAGATCAAAAATATTCTCTGATAAGCACTTCAGTGAGTAAAACTGCTGTAAAAATATGGGATGTAGTGCACTCGAGCCGCACTCGCCTCTCGAAACAACTAGAACCAGACTAAATATCATAGCAACAGTAAGGGAGCATTGCCTATTAAATTTACAGATAGTAAATATTTGGATATCTCATAAAACTGTAGATGTTCTGTGTGAAAAAAATTCAGTAGCATGTTTCACGACACAGGTGTTCACTGCATGCAAGGATTGGGAGGAGGGCTTGACACCCCAGTACAACAGGAGAAGAATAACATCAGTATTCATTGCTTTTAAAGGAACTGACACTTGAACAGTCCATTTTTCTAATTTTATATTTTGTCTGCTTAAGTAAATTGAACTAATCAGAGGAACTTATATAAGTTGATAACTGATCTGCTCAAAGGGAGTGTAAACTAGCATCTAAATGACCTCAAAAATGAAATTGTGTTGAGAGTTTTGATGTTGTTTTGTATTTTCACAGGGAATCTGGTATTTCAGAAGATGCAGTTCGTCGATACTTGATGCGTAAACCTATGACCACCACTGAGCTACTCCAAAAGTTTAAAACAAAGAAAACTGGCTTGACTTCAGAACAGCTTGTCAATATAATGACTCAAATTCTAAAGCGAATCAATCCAGTAAAGCAAACCATCAAAGGAAAAATGTATTTATCCATCAAAGCTGAAGGTACTGAATTTCCATTTGACGATACAGTTAATTAAATGTATATTAATTGTTTTATTGAATATTTTGTCAAGTGTTAAAGTAAATTGATCAACTGAGATGTTGGTCAGGTTCTGGAAGAGTTATTTGCATCATTTCCAGTACAGTATTTTGTTGTACATGTAGACTTTTACTGGATAAAAGTATTTGGAGAGGAAGTTGGTAAAGAAACTATATTTTTGTGTGGGAATAATGAAAAATTTTGTGATCTTTAAGAAATATGTTTGTAATTTATATACATATTAATTGATAAAATAAACTTCTAGGAGCACAGAGCTGTGCTCATTCAATGTGATAACAAATGAGCATTGTTTCACAAGTCAAAGAAAGACAATTGAAAGTTCCTATTATATTTTGTAAAATCTTTCATAGTTGTGTTTATTAGTTGAGTAACCACTAGATTATGATGAGATTTGCAGTTTGTATATCTTTATGATGACACAAAATAGACTTCTGATTGTCCATTGCTGTTTCTTGATGACTTAATGTAAATTAATTTCATAGTGTACAAATTGTATACATAGTGTACAAATAGAATAACATATCCAGTCTATCATCTATTAATGAAGAAAAAAAAAGAAAAGAAAAAAAAAACTCAAAAATATTTTGATAAATGATATTTATGTCACTTAATGTAAATTTTGGAAAAATAAGTGAAAACTTTACTCAGTTACATTGATTGGGTTAAATGTACAGAAATAGTCATATCTGTATCCATCCGTATCCACCAGAGTGGTTGCCAGAAATTGATGTCTGAAATTTTTGATCAAACCCCTCATTTTATCTTGAATCTTCATTTTTTGTTTTGTGCCAATATTTCAGCCCATAAACTATTTTAATCAACGAACATTTTTGTTGCAAAAATGCTGTTAACATATGTCATGATATTAAGGAAAGAAATTGCAGGGGCAATCATTTATCGTATGTGGCTTTCTAAAGCACAAGACAGTTTATACAGGAATTTTGTTAAATATATCATGTATACTGTGAATTTTAAAATTGTTTTTAAAAGGATAAATTTTCATGACTGGTCCATGGAAAAAAAACTTCAATTTATTTGTTTGCCGAGTAAGTTATTGTGAGGGGAGAGGAAACAAGGCTATAAACCAATCTAATTGTATAGCACTCTTTTAATTATTCAGAAAAATGGCTTTCTTTTTAATATATTCAGGATTTAATACATTGAATAACATGCCTCATGTTATTCAATCAACCTAAAAGGCAACAATTGTCTATATTTAAGGGGGTTCCCTTCACAGAAATATCAGACTGATGTTTTTGGGTATTCTAAAATTACTTATTACTAGGCTTTGGATTTTTAGGTTAGAAAGTCTTCCAATGTAGATGCCTAGAATAGACTCAGTGGGTGAAAGTAGGTCTTATAATTTCTTAAATATGCAGTATAAAGAAGATGAAAACAACTTTTCAGATGACTTGTACTTCAGGAGTGTATTTTATTAGCACTTTTGGTGGCACATTTTGTTACATGAAATGAGGAAGGCGTGAGAAAATGTAGTGTGTACTATTTTTATTCATACCAAGAAATGCAATTCAGTATTCTGACTATAAATAAATATTGCTGAAGTTTAATGAAATTAATGCTTGCATACCAGTGTGAGCTATATAGTCGAAATAAGGCTTGTCAACAATTCAATTAGCTTACATCACAGGCGAATGCTGTCATTCTGTTTAAATTTTGGCATTTGAGAACTTAAATGGCCTTCTCTCAATGAAATTCACTCCTAGATTGAGGGCAAGGGAAGACGTGTCAGGATGACAAGAATCACAAGGATCACAGAGGAAGATGGAGTGTATTAAGTTGAGACTGGTAAGGAGCACTGCAAGTTTGTTGTTGTTCTGAGTTCAGCAATAACACTGTCGTGTTTGCAGATGATTAGATGATGAATCACTGGTAAATAGCCAAGATATTAAAAAAATCTACAAGCATTCTTAGGCACTATTAATGTAGTTCTGTATTATTATACAGTCAGGGAGTGTTTATAATGAATTTTGATTGTGTATGTCAGAATAGTAAAATAGGAATTTACTTAAAAATCCAATGTCTAATTATTAAGTGTAGTAATAGATGGTTCATTATTGCAGAATTGGTTATTAAGCTGTATATTGTTTTGCAGTCAAGTATCTTCAAGTACCTTATATTCAAGTCTTCAAGTACCTTACATTTTGCTAATGTGATTAATATCTATTTTGAACTTTTGAAGGTGCAAAAAGGGTCTGATGAAAATTATTAGTCAGTGAAATTAAATAAGTATTAATGAATTAGCTTTTACGTTGTTGGAAAATTGAAAAAAATGAACTTTAATGTTTGACTTTTGTTAATAATAAAAAAGACTTTAGCAAGTTCTCAGTATGTTCAGGACTTGAATTTTGAAGCAGCTCAGTATACAAAATTTAGGTGGCATTGTAAAAAATTGATGAAATTGTAAGAATATATATACTAATTTTGAATGTCTTGGTAATTGTTTAAAAAAGTAATGTAGTGTAAAATGTGTTGTAGTTATTTTTGTTTTACTGTGTAAAATCAATACATGTGGTTGTGCATATTAATGTGGTTGTACTTGTAATATTACAGCATTCCTTTTGCTCATTGTAGAAGCAAGTTATCCCCGTAGAATAACTTTTTGTTTGTTGTTCTCAGGGCCATCACGTTGAAGAACAGCTCTACTGTAATATAGAAAATTGAAGAGGGCTCTTAAGTTATGAATGAATGCACATGTCTATTTTACCAAACATTTGTTTTATTTAACAAGATTTACTCTTCATTAGCCACATATTATATATATAATTTCCAGTTGCTTTCCTTGATGTAATTTATTTTAAGCTTATTTATTAATTTTCAAGGTTACTGTTGATATTTGTGATATATTGTTTATGGTACATATTATTAAAAGAAGTTTAATTATTTGAATACATTTCAATACAATTCATAAAGCTTGAGCATTTTAGGTCAGTGTTTAGTGAAAGGTGTTGATTTTAAAGCCAGTGGCACAATGTTATTTAAAATTCTATTATTATTTGTTAAAATATCCTAATAAAGTTGTTATAAATTAATTTAGTTACATTTTATTTTCTTAATTTTCATCTATAGTGAGAAGAACTCTAAAGAAATCAGTTACCCACTGAAACATGTAGTTAATAATAGCATAACTAGGTTTTTGTTTAAATTGATTTTTGAAAGTCAGCGAAACGTAAGAAATAATTAACATTAGGTTTATTGATGTTCAATACTCAAAATTTGGCAATATGAGTAATCTTTTTAAACCATTTTGTTGTTATTGTTTGGTGAAAGAATGACAAACTGACTTAAATGCGTCAAGCAACGAAGTTGTCTTTTGAGTTACATTTCATTTTCCTGTTTTCTTTTATCCAAGTTGTCTGAACTAGACGGTATCAGCTGAATGCGGGTGCACTTTATTGCAAAAGGAGGGAGAAAATAAGTGGGGTGGTGGAGAGGATATGAGGACAAGCAAAATACTATATTCAGAATTTCTGCTTTCAAGTCATTGAAACTTCCTCAATTGAAGCGTAATCACTATCCACTGCATATAAAATACTTTCAATAAGAGCTTTAAATTTATTTAAATGAGTTGTAATTATCTAAAAAAATTGTTTTGAAAAAAAGTTAAAATGCAGTATATAATGTGTAACCAGAAATTATTCAAAATTATTAAATTAATCTCTTCTATAATATGCAAGTATGGCTTTAACGATGTGATGTTTTAAATTTCTTTTTCCTAAAAGTCTGGGAACTACAAAATGTATTTTCTGAGAACATTATACCATATCTCAATCAGGAATGCAGTATATCTGGAGCCTCCTTTTCATCCATTACAGCCCAGAGCATTTTTTATCAAATATATTTTTTATAATTTTTTTCAATCATCAAATACCGAAATATAGACTAATATTCATACATTTTTTCAACGAAAATACTGGACAATAATTTTTTTCTCCTGAAGGTATTGGAAAATCACATTAGTCACAAGTCATTTTATAAGATTTTCTTTTTACTTCATATTTTTGTTGTTATACTTTTGTCCTTGGGATCTAAATAGTATTTTTGTGGGATTTGGATGTACATTAATGGGAAAGTGCTGAGATATCCCAAAAGATCAATTATGTAAAGAGGGCATGATAAAATAGCAACTAATAAAGCAGTTTAGAAAAAAAATCTTTATAACATAATATTACTAATTAACTTGATCAATAAAATTATGTGCTGGTAGACAATGTGTGCAAAAAAACGTGAGACAACAAGTTCTTGAAAATTTTAGTTTTTTTGCTAGCAACCTCAAACACTATTGACAATAGCTCAAACTATATTGACAACACCCAAAATATGAATACAACCTCATAAGCAATTTTGTAAATATATAAGTATATGTAGTAAGTAAGGTAAGGTTGTAATTTGATGCAATTTACCCACTGTATTAATGAATGGTAAAGTTTCATTTGTTTACCAAAAACAGAGAAGGAAGCCTTATTTCCTGAAGTTGCGAAAATCAAATGGCCGTACTGTTCAACAACATTGCATGAAATCAAATAAACTGCTACATTAAAAAAAATAGTTCACCTCTAAAACTACAACTCCATAAAAGCAGTGAAACATCTTTGGTGAAACTAGTTTAGTTCAACAGCACATATTTTCTTGCATTTTTTGTGACATTCGCAATTTTCAAAAACTCAGATAGACTTCTGCCATTTTTCAAGTGTTCTTTAAACTATCTTTAAAAAAATTGAGTCATTTTTTAAGTTTTTTGTTAATTAGCTGGAACTTCCAGCAGAAATTACCCCCAAACTACAAGTTTTTGTTGTTGTTTTTTTCTTAAAAAAACAGTACGTAACCTCATTTAAAGATATCATTTTTAGACCAGATTTAATCTAAGACAAAAATATGTATCATTAATATTGCGCTTTTGCATTGTTAATTTTTTGTAATTTTTCGAAAATACAGAGTTCGAATTTGTAATGCTCACTTGTGAAAATGGGAATTGCCCCATTTTTTATGGCTCGTTTGCTACATACTAGGAAAAAGTTTGAGAAATAAAAAAAATTACAAATTGTCTATATTTCACGCAATATTTCGTGAAAGCTAATTACGTTACATTTTCGAAGAATTGTATATGACCGTATTTCAAAATCTGTCTTCCAAAAAGATTTTATTAAGAAAAAATCTGTCTTCTATATAGGAGGTTTTGGAAGGTGCTGAGTAATGTACCTTGAGACCTGCGCCGTTCTTTGAAATGTTCGCCATCCAGTGACAAAAGTTTCATCATGATATTTCATACGTTCAAATTGCAATCTGAATAGTGCGAAGATAAGCAAAAGGATGTTAATAAACCTGTGCTAATATTAATCTTCGGAGTTTTTGTAAATATACTCCACAATTATTTCACCAAAATAATAAAAGTAATAATGGGAAATGATTTTCTACTTGCAGGCTGCACGTGGTGCGACGCAGCGTCAATGCAGCTACTATTTAAAATGCTTCAAACTACAAGATAAAACACTCCTGCACTTTAGTGCCAACAGAATGAACTACATTAGGATTGAAACTAAAAGTATATCCACGAAAAGTGACTCTTGTTCAACTTAAACGTTCTAAACCGAAAAACATTCGTTACGCTTTTGCGTATGATAAATCATACGATGGAATATAATTGGTTAAAGTAGCAGAGTTGCAAATTCCTGCAGCTCGATGGAGGGAATCTATTTTGCAGAACATTGGCTAAACAGTTTAATCGCTAGCCTGGACCACAGCCGGACGGAGATGTTTTGCCTTAAATCGATATTTCGATACAAAATCCCATTCAATACAAAACTAGTGGAGCTACAACAGCACATACTGTCGGGTTCAACGGAAATGAGACCCACGCCATTCTTTTAAGCACCCATTCTTCTATCCGTGGGAAAAATATGAGAAAAACTTTGGAGGTGAAGAAAATGTTTCTTTTAGGAATTGCATTTATTGTAAGCAAATTACGCGAAAACTGCACGTTAAAAAACAACAAAACTGTACACGATCTTTTTTAAAGAGCTAATTATTTGGAACGGACTTCGTCTAAGGCCAAAACCTCTATCTTTAATTTTGTAGTAGTGAAAAGTAAATTTTACGGTCTCATCCGAAAAGATTTTCGCAGGGTAGTGTACCAATTTTGTGAAAGAAATGAAAGTTCATGAAACAGCACATGAGGAAGGTTGCAAACGGAAACTTCTTGAAAATGAATCAGGAGAATCAGACAACTCTATCAATTCAGGAGTTTCTCTTTGGAATCGCTAGTAGGCGTTGAAAGTCCCTGTAATGGCCAACCGGCTTGTTGGTTTTGTGGTGGACTATTTTCAGCTGACCGTCGCGGAGAACTGAGGGTCCAGGGAATTGTATGCAATGGGGACGCACAATGACAGTGCTGGGGCCGAAACAGACATTTATATTTGTGATATTGTAAATGTTTTTTTTTCCAAGTTTTTGTAATAAAATAGCATTTACATATGTAAATATGTTATTAGTTTCTCTAAATTCACGTATTAATTAATCTTTTAAGGGGCTCATAATACCAGCACAATAATAATAATAATAATAATAATAATAATAATAATAATAATAATAATAATAATATTTGTTATTATTTTCAAATATGACTTCTTTTGAATTATGGGTTTTTAACCCACTTTATGAGCACTTAAGAAAGTTCATATTTTTTGTATAGTTTGCACAAATGATGAAGTTAAAGTTATCATGTTTGTTTTTAAGAAAGGGATTTAATTGTTTTGTTAAATGTAATAAAAGTGGGGCCTCAAATCTACCTTTTCTCTCTTTATTTGTTATTACGGAATCAATTTTAAAATCTGATATGAAGCTATTTACGGTTTCTTTATTGCAAGTAATATATTGTGGCGTCATACGGGTGTAATCGAACACAGACGAGAGTGGTTTGTAAAACAGTAGATTTATTAACAATCTAGACCGTAGTCTCCATTTAACAACTACCCTGCTCACAATAAACTAAATAAATAGACCCACTACAAGGAGAGATAATTTATGAACGGCTACCACACCGCAACATACCACCGATGTTCCCTGTATGAAGCCTGTCTACTTTGAGACCATCTACGCGTCTCGCAAGTCACGACAATGAATTGCGAGCCCCTCGCCCTAGTGCACCTACACGCACAGACACGCGCTTCACCTGTCGCCGACGCCGCTAGAACAAGAAGACTATGGCATTGTTCTCCTGGCCTTATATAGGCCCTTTTGGCTCTACCCGCCGCCCACATTGCCTCCTCCCCAAAGCCGCTCTGGGTCCGCTACGTCCACGGAAAGTCCCAGTGCGTCATCACTCCGCCCTTTGTTTAACATCCGGCGATGCTTCGCCGATTTCCACGTGGTTGTCTGTTTTGAGCGTGGCACGACGATACAATATCATCCGCAAAGCGCCCTGTTCTTTCGTTTCTAATCGTCGAGGGTATAAAGTATAGAAGGAAAAAATAAGCGATCCCTGCGAGACTCCGAATGCAATTGGCAATGAATCGGAAGGGTGTGTCATAACATTCCATCACAAGCAATAATTCACGCATTATTTATAGACTACTTGGTGCATGTATCGTGAGTCACTGTTTGCAATACTGTTTAAATAAACGATAATAATAATTCATTTTTTC